AGAAAGAGAGAGAGAGAGAGAGAGAGAGAGAGAGAGAGTAATTGTGATTTGAGTAATAACAGTAATATAATTTTTCTTTACATATAAATAAGACAGGAAGAGAGAGAAATGAGAGAGAGAGAGAGAGAGAGAATGAAATAGATAGATAGATCATAGAGAGAGAGAGAGAGAGAGAGAGAGAGAGAGAGAGAGAGAGAGAGAGAGAGAGAGAGAGAGAGAGAGAGAGAGAGAGAGAGAGAGAGAGAGAGAGAGAGAGAGAGAGAGAGAGAGAGAGAGTAATCAAGAGTCCTAGAGTACAGATCATTTTTCTTTACATCTATAGATCTTAAAATCATTGTTTCAGAAAGAACACACACAAACATAGACACACATATGCACTCACACATGGACACACGCACGCACATGCGCATAATATTAAATGTACCTCTTCAAATCTGGTCATGCCTTTTGCCAGTTGACATACAATAAATACACTTATAATGCAGACTGTTGACGACCGTTGCCAACTGTCGTCAACCGTCACTTTCAACCGACACGCTTTTGCCCCTCCATGACAGAAAAATCTAGCTGGCCCCGACAGAATTATAAATGAATTAAATCATCGGGGTCACTGGGGCCGGCGGCACTCCTGTACAATTGCGGTCCCGTTTAGAGATCATACTCGTTTTGACCCTACCAACGATTACTTCTGGTTCTAAACAATTAGTTTTTTATGCGCGTTTTTTGATAGCCAATCAAACCTCATTGTTTAAAACACCAAATTATGGTCAAAGTCTAGAGATCTAGAGATCTAGAATCTATCTAGATCTAGATCTACATGGGAAAAAATTGACATGACATGAATGAATATGAAAGAATGCTAGAGAAAATAAATTAATAGAATCTAGATCTAGATCTAAGACTAAAAGTTTGGCGCTTTTTCGGTAGTACCCACCCCGCAATTGTTATTCCCGTGATTTGGCCCCAAGAGTACGGGGGTTTCAGAGGGGCTTGACCCCCTGACCTAATAAAAACAAGGTGGGGGGTTTCAATTTCAGGGGGGCATGCCCCCCTGAATTTTACCACAATTTAATGTTTTGCAGTTGTTGAGTTGTTAGGTTTGATATCTTAGCTCGCTGCGAATCAAACGTATAGATCTAGATAGATCTAGATCTAGATAGTATAGATAGAGTCTAGATCTATATGATCTAGATGTAGGGTAGGTTAGGCTCAATATCAATAAGGGGGGGGGGGGGGCTACCGAAAAAGCACCAAAAGTTTTAGGGCCTAGTCAAAAGTGGTAAGCAGCCCAGTAGACTAACTACTGTCCAGTAGTTAGTTAGTAGTTAGTTCGGTTGTGTTGTGAGAGAGTTCAGAGTTCAGAATCAGAGAGTGACAACTCGGGCAGAGACTCCAGACTCCAGCGACTCCAGTCCATTCAGATCGGCAGCCCGACACTTGGCATAGATCTAGATCTACATGTTATAACGGAAAAGAATAAAACTTGCTAAATGACACTGCAAAAATTACCAAACGTGTATAGGAGTGTCGGCAACCTTGATGCCGTGATATCATTTAACTCAAACCCATACTGCCAAACCTTCTTCATAGCAGTAACAGTTGCAGTTCTTGACTCTCCATGTTGTTTACATTTTTCTTTTTGTATGTCAAATACGATTATTGCCAGAACTGTTTCGAGAATGGTGCCAAGTTGAACTTATACCTGACCAAACGAAATCATGCGTCCCATAACTTAGGTGGCAAAAGCAGTCCATTACTTTCTCAGATGTTTACACATGTTACTTATTTTGATTTTAGAAATAATGATTTTAAAAATCACGAAAGTTCTGTTCTTCTGAAAATTCATTCCTTAAAAGAGATGGATTATAAGATATAAGAAAAAAAGAATTCAAACTCAAACTTTTGACCACACAAACACTGACGCGCAACTCGACCCCACACAAATAAACAACTCTAGCGCACTCCCCCCCCCTTCT